TCTGTCTTTCTGTCTGTTTGTCTGCCTTTCTGTCTGTCTGTCTGTTTATCTGCAGTTCTGTCTGTCTGTCTTACTAGCAACAAGCAGGACTCACCCCTTGGAAGCTGGGATGCGTGGCAATACGAATGACACGTGCCCCAGACAGCTGCGGGAAATCATAGTTCTGGAACTGGTTGCTGACAGTCCAGGGGACAAGGTCACCCGAGGGCTTAACCCCTTGAGCAAGGGCTGACATCACCGAGGCCTTGGACACCTTGCCCTCCAGCGCCACCTAGGGAGACAAAGGGGGAAAGGGAGAGTTGTAACTGTAATATGCATTGAAGTTGGGATGGTTGCGAATGTTTATACTCCTATATCAAAACTATAGATTAGAAACAGAGGAGGATGGAGGAGAAGAGAATGGAGGAGGAAAGGAGGAGGAGGAGGAGGGAGAGGAGGAGGGGAGGAGGAGGAGGAGGAGGAGGAGAGAGGAGGAGAGAGGAGGAGAGAGAGGAGGAGGAAGAGGAGGTAGTGTGATGTGACCATATTGTCATGATAAGAATTTGGCTGAGGGCAGGGGTGGCAAGAACTTGCTGTCATGCATATTTCAGCTGAAGGCTGGGGTGATGGTAATGATTTGCCACAAGTGCGCTTTGGAGGGTGATTGGACTCATTGGCATTTAGGAAGGGGGTTTTGCATTATTTCCATTTTAGAGAATGTGGAAGAGTGCTGGCTCCAGGAGGACGCTATTTTTATGCTCATGATTCTATTCCTGCTGTGAACAGTGGTGCAGGTTGTATTACAGAAAACTTTGAATATTTAAAACAATAAAAATGACACAAATAACAAAATGTTACATATTGTTATAGCACTGACTACTAGAGAGATGATATGGAGTCTGTGCAAGGAAAACAGTATACTGCCATCTGGGTACAGCCAATCAAATGCCAAATATAGATACTGGGAAACAGCGAAAAAAATATATATTATTAAACATTTACACAAAAAAAGATAAAATAGAATAGCAAGGGAAAGACATGGTGTGTTATCATTGCATATGAGTGTTTGTGTGCGCCCAGCCTACAGGTCACACATACGTCGAAGTGGCTGCTCAAGTAAGCCCAATGCCAGTATTTTGGACCAAAAGAAGACAGTGAAGCATCTCGATTCAAGGGGTTAAACTTATGCTCTGATGCCATCATCCTTTGAGCTTTCCCACATCCAATATTTCATCAAACATTCCTTCCTGAGAAGAAGCAAGCAAGAAAAAAAACCCACCTGTACAACTGTCAGGACAGGTGGTAGAGTGTCTCCCTTGGCCATGTCTTGTGGGGGCAGCAGGACATAAAGATGATGGGCGGGGCATCAGAGAGTGTCTGGAGGTCATCAGGTGTGTTGCGGTAATGTGAGGATACCAGAAGACCCATCACTTGTGCCAGGAACTTTTCTGAAACCTTTAGGGAAGAAAAATTGTCTGAGGAATGGTCAGCTGAGTCCAAACTATATTATTTCTTAGCATATATTTCATATTCGTTTCATGAGAACTGAAACTCAGTGAGATCCCTATTTGCTATTATTCCATGAAGTTACATGAAAATGCGCGTGTAAGAGTAGGTATGCCTTTTCCCTGATACAAGTGATGCAAATCTACAAAGGAGAATCTACGAATACTGATCTAATTAATCTTGGGCCATTTATGTCCACATTTCCATGAAACAAGATGAGAGAGAGAAAAAAAAAATCTCTAGAAAGGGATTTTCCAACCTTATGATATCCAAAGAGAGTATCTCTGTTGACATAGAAGAGCTGGCACTGGCTGGGCGGGGGCATGGTGGTGGGGGCCTGCGGTAGGGAAGCCTCTAAGCAGAGAAGATCGTGGAGCCACTTCTCCACTGGGTCGCCACTCTTGTACCTGATGCTCTCCTCCAGTGTCACCTGAGAGGAGAATTTCAATGGTTCCATGTGATGTAGGTTTTGTAATTCAATGTCCTATGTTGTCGGTACCGCTCAAGATTAACATCAAAGTCTCTTAACTATGGTTGTATTCCCATGATTAATGCATATGTATCTTATCATATTAACAACAAAGAACTACCAATAACTACAGATGTGAATAACATTATTTTGGGAAGAATATGGACAATGGTGCAATTAATCAACTGGCATAATTGACATTCTTATATAACAGGCAGCCCGACAAAACTCTTATCTTTCTGTACCTCATGCAGAACTCTTCCTAATTCCGTTGATTTGGTGTTACTGTCCCCATTCTCTGCATTTGCACTGCTTGCTTTGGCCTGTGACCTCAACTGGTCAATCAGCTTTAGAGAAAGAGATCTTCCTGTGCCTTCGTAGCCTGACACGGTTGAGGACAGGAACACTAAGTATGGCCCCAAGAGCTTGCGGACAAGTGGCAAGGGAATGGCTGCAGCTTCATCTATGACAACGAGTTCAGCCTGGCCCAGGCAGTTGCTCTCTCCTGGAGCAATGTACTATGGGGGAAGAAATTTTTCTTTTCAATATATATTACATAAAACAAAAAAAAGATAGTGTTTGTGTGTGTGTGTGTGTGTGTGTGTGTGTGTGTGTGTGTGTGTGTGTGTGTGTGTGTGTGTGTGTGTGTGTGTGTGTGTGTGTGTGTGTGTGTGTGTGTGTGTGTGTGTGTGTGTGTGCGTGTGCGTGTGCACGCGCACATGTATGCATGTGTGTGCACGTGTGTGTGTGTGTGAAAGTAGAATAACATAATATGAAAAGTAAATACTAAAATACTCAATTTCACATAAATATGTATTATGCAATCTTAAACTTTGTACTTCACTTAACAAACTAATACAAAGGGTGAAATGATATAACAAAAGAGAGAAAACAAAGTAAAAAGACAGTCCGTTGATCCAAACTCTCACCTGGATAATCTGCCGTCTTTCCCTGGTGACTGTAACCCTCATCACAGACTTGTTGAACTGGGGGTCGGTAGAGCGCAGAACCTGGTAGCTAAGGTGCTCCTCATAACCCATGGCATTGAGACCTTTTAACACAAACTCAAACAAGGTGTTCAAGTTCTCAGGGCTCGGAGAAGTGACAAAAATGTTTGAGTACCCGAAGGCAATGGCACCAGCTGTTGTGAAATGAAGAAGAAAAGTAAGCAAAATATGTTAAATTATGGGCTATGTTTCCATATCTTATCCATGACGAGTAAAAGATATATATATGTATATATATATTATTATATATATATAATATATATATATATATATATATATATATATATATATATATATATATATATATATATATTATATATGGGATTTAAAAAGGGAATAAAACCAAAAATGTTATTTCAGTTGATAAAATGTAGAGCCGAAGTCCTAAAATCTTTATCCCTTAAAAAAGATAACAATTTTCAAGTCAGGCTTACTAAATAAATACAAGCATAGTGGGAGTGTAGTGCACATTTACTAACTTATGACAACAAATAATAAAGCAAAACAAAGCCAGATTCAACAAAAACAAATAAAACTCACCCATGACTATTGACAGTTATAATAAAAGTTATAATTACAACCAACAGGACAAACAATCTCACCCATGGCTAGCCCTAAGGCAGCAGATTTCCCTCGTCCTCTGCCAGCTGTGAGCGTGACTGTCGTGCGCAGTGTCTTTTCTGTGATGGCTACCACAAATTGTAATACAGACTTAGCCTGAAAGAAAACAGCCACAGCACTGTATTTAGTCTGACTTGCTTGGGAAAAGAAAGAAGAAGAAGAAAAAAAAAAAAAAACAGGGAAATGTATGAAGATAGCCTAAGTTCACACCAGCAGAAACTATATTAAAGAATAGTTCACTATTCAAAATGCAAAATTTCACATGAAAAATATGTAATACATAATTGAAAAAATAAATAATATTTGCATAGTAGAGAGAGACGGTGAAAAAGTCAAGTCTAAATTTTGAGGCTCTGTATAGCTATATGGGGACCAAATTTCAACATAAAATAGTAAACATAATATGAGACTGTATTTCAGATCATGAAGTTTGCCATTCTCAAGCAGAAATAAATTCATATTAATCTGTTTTCACAAATAAGAACAGGAAAGACTGTGTCTACTCCTACATTCAGTTACGAGCCGTGGATAGCAACAACTATCAGGCCCATATGCATCTTGAAGCAACATCAAATCCTTTGGTTTGCAAGGTTTGTTATCGATTCATGCACAAGTTCATTTAAGAAATATATATATAAATATTTCCATCCTTCCAGGTAATAAAATAAAAAAGTTAGCCAGTATTTAGAAGTTTAAAAAGGAGAATAAAGTAAAATGCACTACTAGTATATCTGAAAAACGTGAAATAATCCATTTTTCCCTTGGCACAAAGTATCAACAGCTGTACCTGGTCCAATGTCTTGCAAAGCTCAATGAGGAGCCCCACAGGAGGACTCTCCTTAAGGGACTCCTTGAGGTCCTTCAATTCCTGGTCGTTGGGTGACAGTGGTGTTGAGGATGTCACAGCAGGCACAGGCTGCAGGTCCCTCAAATGCGATGAAATAGGTAAGATGCGCAACAGGTCATCCACAACGACACACATGGGGCACGATGACAAAGACAGGATGAACCTGTTGGTAAAGAAAATATAATTGAAAAGGTTTTGCTGAATCATATATCACTGGCACTTGGGGAAGCCACTGCTCTCTCATGATTGAAAAAGGAGAAAAATAGGTAAGGATGAAGATTTCGTGGAATATAACAGTATTACTTATCACAGGGAGGACAATCTGTGAAGAATCTGCTCCTCGCAAAAGGCCATTAACCCTTTATATCAGAGAAAAATACCATATGGGAAATAGAGTTAAGAACTGTGCATACAACAACCATTCAGCATCTTACCGTTCATTGAACCTTGGCACAACATGCTATGGGCTTCTGTGCGGTAGCGAGAGTGTACATCCATGTTCATGGCGTACAGCTGCCTTAGTGATGTCATGCTCTGCAGGAGGATGGCGATGACTCCCCCACCCTCGATNTTAGGGCAGGGGGTAAGGGTAGAGGGTGTGGGTAAGACTGAGGGTTGGGGTGTGGATAGGGGTAAGGGCAGGGTGTGGTAGGGGTGAGGGTAGGGAAGAGGTGGTGGAAGGGTGAGAGTGTAACAGAAGAAAGGATGGGAGGTGGAAGGCGTGGTTGGAAGGGGGTGGGCGAGAGTGGATGAAAGAGGAATGAAAGGGGTGGATAAGATCAAAAGAAAAGAATGTGGATGAAAGCGGAAGAAGGTGGATGATAACAGAAAAAAACGGGTGGATAGGAGTGGAATGGAAGAACAGAAGGAGGGCGGTGGATGAAAATGAAAGGAAGGAGGTAGCTGAAAGATGTAGGAAGGGGATGGATAAAAGTGGAACAAGAGGGTTGATAAGTGTGCAGGTCGAGATACGAAGGTAATGGAATGGACTGGGATGTCTGAGAATAAAAGGAAGAAGGAGAATGAGAGAGGATGAAAGATGGGGTGGATGAGAGTGGAAGGCATCGGAGTGGATGGATAAGAGTGGATGGGTGGCGCGCTGTCGAAAGATGCTGATAAAGAGAGAAAAAAAGTGGTTGTGAAATCACCATCCGTTCCCAGTTTTTCGACATTTTTGAAAATATTTTGGAAAAGGTTTTTCTTTTATGATTTGCATTTTTTTTCATGTGCTGAGAATTAAGAGCTGAATTGAAAATTAGATTATTAGAGTCGGTATAATGAATAAATATTCTTTTTGAAAGTGAAACATTATAATATAATCGACGACTGGTAAAATATATTAAAAATGCAGCTGGTAAGTCATATATGAATATCAATTACTTTAATAAACTCTTTCCATTATCTTACATTTTCATTTTTTATTTTTCTGCCGCTTCGCACCTTGTGTTGATATCAGTCCTGGTGTGTGTCAGTATGCATGCGTGGGTGTGTGCGTGTGTGTGTATGTGTGTGTGCGTGTATGTGTGTGTGTGTGTATGTATGTGTGTGTGTGTGTGTAAGTGGCTGTGTGTGCGTGTGTGTGTGTGTGTGTGTGTGCGTGTGGCTATACCAGGAAACGGGTGGTGTAGCCACGTGCCTCACAGCTGCTGCTGCTCTGCCCTCTTCACCTCCTCCTCTTCCTCCTTCTGCTCATCTTCTTCCTCCCCTTTCACCCCCGCCCCATCATCGCATGCCCTCCCCTTTCCCGTCTTTTACTGCCTTCCCTTTCTCCTCCCTCATTTCCCTCACGTGTCCCCCATCACACAAGCCACTTCCTTCATCGCGGCAACTTGTCAAGTCCACCAACTTCGCTTTTTCTTTCTTTACGCGTAAACAATAGATTTTTTTTTCTAAGACGCAAATACTTGCCAAGAATAAGGGGGTTTTAGAGGTAGATAAGGATTACCCTTTAGAAATGGGCGTTTCGGATCGGATCTACCTTTAATCTACACTAGAATGGTTAGTAATATTTGAGAAATGCTATCAATTTGAAGAGCATAGTCATTTAAGCCACTTTGGTCTATTAACATCATTATCATTGCTTAAAAAATAAATAAAAAATAAAAAAAACGCACGCAAGCGAACAAAACGCGCAAACACACATGTGCAAATCTTATACTTGATTTTTATTTGTTTGTCCTTTACTTTATCTAAGCGATCCATGAACCTCGTCAGAGTCCGCCAAGAGGTGCAGACAGCTACCCAACCGCTAGCCAGATTTTGAACATTTTTTCCTCCGTTTTCTTACGAGTTTGGTTAATGTAATTATATGGCGAACTAATGAACTAGAAGATGCCGCCCAGAGGGACGTCTCGGCCGCCCTCCACGCCACCACAGAGCCAGCCGGGAGGAGGGGACCGGGCGCTAAGGAAATTAAATTCACCCAAACGTGTCCGCGTGAAGGATCTTCTTAGCGCGCCGACAGAGCAGAAGATCAGAGGCTGATTCGTTAGCAAAGAATTAGGCAACAGGAATAAGATTGGCTCGTGGCGGGCGGGTCGGCCGACACCACCAGCTTCTTTCTCCTCGTGACGAAACAATTCTCGTCACCTCTGCTCTCGGAGTTTTTTTTCCCTCTTTCTCGCATGCTGGTTGGACACGGCTTAAGGAGGATCTGGAAAGGGACACCGTATTCCTGTTTTTGTCATGCTCAGTTTGTTGATATTATATTCCTTTTATCCCTAGTCTTCATTAAAAGAAAAACGAAAAAGTGGTTTAATTGGAAGATGGGAAGCCACGGAAGGCAGATAAGAAAAGCAAGCAAGTCAACAGCCGAAAGAAAATAAACAAGACCGTCCACATGTAACATACACATGCTTTGGTAGGCCTATGCATCTGACGAAGACCCTACACCAGCAGGCCTGCCATCACCACTCGCCTCTAACGTCTTCAGCTGCCAACCTAACCCTCCTCCCCCTTCCCCCTCCCTCCTCCCCTCCCCCCCTTCCCCTCTCCCTGATGCCCTCGTCCGCAGGTCTTTACCACCAGCATCCTTGTGGTGGCATGGCATCCGGCGCTGGTTAGTGCCGTGCGTGGGGTTTCAGGGGGGGGTTCGGGGGGAGGGGGGGGGGACACGGCGAAGGGAAATGGCTCTGGTCAGGGGGGAGGAGGCTGCGGTCCCGTGGCACTAGCGTGGGCGTGGTGGGGGCGGCACTTGTGGTAATGATGGTGGTTTTGCCGGTGTATTACGAGGAGGAGGAGGGGCGGCGGGCGGGGGAAGGAGAGGGAGGGGGTGGCGATGCAAATATTTAGATGTGCTTTCGAGTTTAGAAAGAAGTTGTGTGAGAAGAAGGGAACTGAAGCAAGGAGAGACAGATTCAAGTTCAGTTAAGGTTAAGCAAAGTGATGATGAGAATGAGAATGATAAAGATGATAATATGATGATAGTATGATGATGTTGATGATGATAGCAATCATAATGTTAGTAGTAGCATTAATAACAGCATCAATGATGATAACCATAATAAGTGGTGATACTAATGATGATAACAATAATAAGAAGAGGATGATAATGATATTGATATGATAATAATGATAAGAAGAATAACGATCACTATTGCATTAACAATATGGATGGTGAGGATAATGATAACGATGATAATAATATGATCATAATAGTAACAATAATGATAATGATAACAATAATATTTAAAATATAGTTATGATAATGTTAATATAACGATAATAGTAATAACAATATAATGATAATAGTAAAAATAATAATTAAAATATATTTATTGGGATGAAATGATGATATGATGAATGATGATGATAATAATAATGGATAATGATAAAATGATTAATAACTGATGTAACAATGATAATGATAATAATAATGATAATGGTAATAATGATCTAAGAGTGATAATGAAATTGATAATAAAAAATGAAAAAAATAGTAATGATTATGATAATCACAATAATAATGATAATGATTCTAATGATAATAATGTTAGTAGCAGTAGTAGTAGTAATAATTATAATAATAATAGTAATAATAACCATAATAATGATAACAATAATGATATGATGACAATGATAATGCTAATCATTATCACTGATAACAATGTTAATAATAAATAACAATGAAAATAAAATAATGATAACAACAATAATGATGCTAATAGTAGTAATAACAATAGTGATGATAATAACCATGATGACAATAATAACAATAAAAGTAACAATGATAACAATAGCCATAAGAATAACGATTTTAATGACTTAAAAAGACAGATAGAGAAAAAGACACAAGTATATATCCAGAGGATATGATGAGTACGGATAAGAGAAAGGAGGAGAGAGAGAAAGATCAGATGATAGGGAGAGAGAAAGAGTAGATGGTGGGAAGCAGGAGAGAAAGAGAAGACAAGGAAACGGAGGAAAATCCGAAGGAGGGCGCAGGCACGGAGCGAGAGAAGATCCCGACCTCAAGCCGTGTTGCGCCGGAACACAAACCTGACGTTTCGACTTCTCTCGTTTACGTTTAACCTCTCGATGTATTTCTCTCCGCCGGTTGAACACATCCGCCGCCTTCCGTCTCGGACCGCGCTTCCGCTGCCCCGCCGGGAGGGGTTGGGACGGCGCCTCCAGGGACATCCAACGCGACTTCCCAAGCTCACCCCCCCCCTCTCCCTTTGGCACCTATCTACACCATCCTCTTCCGGACCACGCGACCGCCGGGCCCGGGCGCGGCCGTCCCTCAGTGCGCCTCGCAAGAGCCCCGCCCACGGAAAATCAAAGAACTCTGTTGCTGGACGTTCTCACGCGCCATCACTACTTACCTCCTTTATATTCCTATACCTATAAACTCATATATAATATATACCTACTACCATATACCTATATATATATACTATATAATATACTATAATTATGTATGTATTTATATATTTATATGTACATATAATACATACATATAACATACTACCAACTAACATACCATACATACCATACATACATACATACATACGAGCTACATACATACATACATACATAACACAACCACCCACAGACACACACACACAACTTACACATCATACACCACACACACACATAGTATATTAATATAATAATATATTACTATATAATCATTACATTTATAACATATATTGTAATATAATATACATTATTTATATAATATCATATATATTATATGTTATACTATATATAATAATATATTATGATATCTATATATATATATATATATATATCATTGTCTATGTAATGAATGCAGAACACACGTCGCATCACACAAACACATACTCACACACACACACACACACAGTTCACACATAATATATAATATATTATATATATATATCAATATTATACTTTTATATTTTATTTTTTTAAAATTCAATATAACATCAAATCCCAAAAACAAACAAAAAATCAAAATATATGTGTGTGTGTGTGATGTGTGTGTATGTGTGGTCGGTGTGTATCGTTGTGTGTAGTATTTGTTGTGTAATGTATGTGTAAGTGTGTGGTATGTATGTATGTGTGTGTATGTATAGTTATGT